CGAGCGTCCGGCAGCGTCAAGCGACTGGGAAAGTATAGCTATCGATCTAGCGATCAGCAGTGTCTATCAGCCTCCACCAGCATCCACAAGCGACCATCAGCGATAAGCAGCGTTTTAAGGGTCAACGAAGTATAGGTATTGATTTAGCGGCCAGCAGACCAGCAGCACCCAGGAGTGGAGAGTGTGGGGCGACGGGAGGGTAGCAGACAGCTCGGTACTATCCTATCGCCCCACAACAGCTGTTTGCTACCCTCTTGTCTCCCCATGCTCTACCAGCTGCCTGCTGCCCTCCTATCGCCCCATGCTCTCTACTCTTGGCCGCTGCTGGTCCCTGTGGACGCTAGATCGATATCTATACTTTGCTAGTCGCTGACCTTGCCGGTCGCTCGGAACGCTAGTGGTCGCTGGTGGACGCTGCCGCAAAGTATAATTGCAGCCTGAGGGGGACGCGCACTCTCGATGAGCAAACTTGTCGACAGCCCACTGGTTTTTTAATCACTTTTTTGCATAGCCCAAAGTTTATAGTTGGTTCGTTGTGTTCAAGGCACACTATCTCCAATTTCTTAACCCTTTTTACGTGTAGTGTATTTCCTTTCAGCCTTTGCCTCAAAGGAAACCTGGGTATGACATGTTTGAAATGACTCTAATATGGAGATCCGGAGGCACACCGATCGGGCTCCTTATACACAGGGTGAGCGCGAAATATTTTCAGTTTAGCGAGATGTTCTATTTGGAAATAAGAGTTTTCGAGTGTTAGCGACAAGAGGGCATAGGAATTATCACAGAAGGACCCCCCCCCCCCCCCCCCCCCCCCCCCGTGATGATTGAAAAGGAAGGGGCACAGAAGTCAACTTCAAAAACTTGTAGTAGGCGTACAATCAAAAAACCCATGATGGTTGAGTGATCTGGACGAGTTATCCGACCAGGAAAACGCGTCAAGCTGCAAACATATATCATGATACATTCAGTGGCTACGTGACCGCATCATAGGGGACGTGGAGAAGCAGATTCGTAGAGATAGCACGCAACAAGATGGGGTGGGCATAGGTAAAAGAGTGACGGTTGGATCAATAATGTCGCCATGCGCGCGATCGTTCGCACGCGCGGCCGACTAAACTGACGTTAGTGCTGATAGGGCAATAGGGGCGATTTAGGAGCAGGAGGGGTGATAAGGGCAAATAGAGCGGCACTAGAGTTGGCGTGAAGATCGATCCCTTGCTTCAACAGGCCAAATCTTAGTTAGGAGCGGAACCCGCGAATAGCTGCATGGGTGTCGCACGGTTCGCCGCGCGCGTCGATATTGAGCCGCGGCCACCATTGCGCGCCCCTTATAGATCGCCTGTTCCCCAGGAGGAGAGCTGGTTTGCGCTGATTTCACAAAATATCACAGACTTTTATTGTATCCAGGACTTCTCTGGCCGTGTTGTAATAGCGATGGTTGAAAGTGGATGCACTGCATCCAAGGTGGTCAAGGCTGGAGATATTCTCTTGAAGGTGAACGCCACCGATGTATTCGATAGGGACGTGGCTCGCAAGGTAGACTTTCTGGTTCCCATATGGGACCATATATCGGTCAATTCAACCCAGTTTCAGTTGATTATGGAGAGTATAAACTCGTCAAAACGAGTAACTCTGACACTTGAACGATGCGTATTTGCACCTCTGCCTCCATTAATTCCAAGAAGTCAAGGCGCCCCTGGTGCACCCGGGGCCCCTCCCGGAGCTTCTACACCAGCACTCGAAGCTCCTAAAGCATCGGTACTTTACTCGTTGTTATCAATCACTGATACTACTTAATCTTTAACTAGTTTCAGTCCTCGGGGACTGCACTGAAATCCTTCCAATGTGCTCCAACTGTTAACACGAAGGTTGCAATTCTAATCATTATTTTGAGAGCATATTCTGTGATAATCGAGTGGGCGGAGTCTCGTATCGATTGTGAGCCCTAATAACCTTGGAGAGGGCACTTGAGGACTCCTTGTACTATACTGGGATTGCTGCAGTGGGAGAAAATTACCATACTTGAATTTTGTTCACCTAGCCACGAAGTTCTTCGGCTCCTTGAGCTGCACGATTCTTTACCTCCATTACGGAAGTCTGATTTTGTGCAAGGAGTCATCTAAACCCTCTCCCCCTCCTTAGAAACTAGCACTCTATGGTGCTTAACTTACTGGTGTGCCCCTCTTGGCGTAGAGGACAGACGATCATGAGAAAGGCAAGTGGTCCTGAGTCCGCACTCACTTCTCCGCCC